TGGAGAAAATCACGTTCAAAAATAAGGCACGTGATGCTGTAATCCAGGGGTGCCAAACTCTGTCCTGGAGGGCCGGTGTCCTGCAGAGTTTAGATCCAACCCCAATTAGACACACCTGAACCAGCTAATCAAGCTCTTATACTAGAAACTTCCCAGCAGGTGTGTTGAGGCAAGTTGGAGCTCAACTCTGCAGGACACCGGCCCTCCAGGACCCAGTTTGGGCAGCCCTGCTGTAATCCAAGCGATGATAGAAGTAGACGTAGAAGAGTGGGAGGACTTTCTTTTAGCCTAATTTTTTTACAATGTTTTTGTAATGTAGCTATTAATTATCATGGGCTGTAATAAAAAACAAGTAGTCATACTAATACTAAAACTAACGGAAGATTTGGTTTTCAAGCGAAATGTAAAAGTAAAGTAAAAGACCGCTTCTTAAACCAGAGAAGGTGAACATGTTGGTCAGTTATTTTCAATTTATCTGGTATCTTTGCTGTTTCCTGACGTTATGCTGGAGGCGCCATTTAATTTTTTTTTCTTATTTATTTGATTCCACAGTGTTTGCTAAGCTTTCTGTAATTTATTAGTCGATATATAATCAAAGACCTTTAAGGTAATCTATAATCTTTGATATAATACAGCATGCTGTGTATGCCATGCCTCGTCTTATCATTTATTATTAATAAACGTAGTCGGCCATTGTAGCCTACAGTTAATAATATTGTGCTTTTCATTAAGAATAACAATGAATCTGTCTTTCAAGCATTTGTTTCAGTCTTTAAAAGTGAAAGGTGCATAGCTGTAACGTTAAGCACAACAGACAATGATCTTTTCTTGAACACGTGACACCAAGATGGAGAATTCTAAAAGCGAAATTGAAAGCGTTCCATTCACAAAAAATACACTTTTGTTACCATATAACTATAAACTATGACAGCTAGTGGAAAAGTTTTCATCATGTGACTTTCTCATCAGCTGTTTTTGGAGGTTATCAGTGTATTTCAACAGATATCAGTACTTCAATAGGTTGGTATATTAACATTATATCAGATAATAAATGTTGATAGCATATATTTTTTTACGGTAAAGTTACAGCTGCCGGTATTTCACCTATTTTTTTTTATACAGTGCATGCAATACTATTCTCCTCTTCAGCAGACACATAAAACAGCACTGATCCAGACACCTTCGGTGTTCATACACGACAGTGTAAGTTTCTTTTTCTTTTCTTCACAGATAACAGCCACAACAAGCTTTTACTCCCATTTACAGCATTTTTTGTCTATTCATGTTCAAACATATATTATTAGGACATAAACTGGAGAAAACTCTATATATTGTATATATTTTGTGTTAAAATGTTACCTTATGTGAGTTGAAATATTAAACGAAGCAGGAGAAAGTGCGTGTCGTCTGTTTCCCGCGGTTTTTCAAACGGTGTGATGATCATCTGATCCGATCTGAGCGCGCTTCTTCTTCTTCTTCGGGGTTTTACGGCAGTTTCCATCCGATGTGTTGCATTACTGCCACCTGCTGTTCTTCAGTGCATTATATCCTCCTGCGACCCAGGCATAGACTTTTGTCCTCTGAGGATATTATATTTGAGTGAATTTCTCTGAGAGCCTACATGCCACAGTTTGAAGTCTGGATGTCCTGTTCAGAGCACATTCAGGGCTTTTTATGCACATCAAATGTTCGGAGGTTTGATCATAAACACTCCCTCTCCTTGCAGTGGCGTGTCCACAAGGGTGGCACCCCCCTTAAAATGAGCTTTGCCACCCCAAAGCAGCGTATGGGATCGAAGTGCATTGAGAGCGGAGCAGTGTGATTTTAACTGAAGCGGGGATCTCTCGACTGTCTGGGTTTCGCTCGCTCTCAGAGTGCTATTTATTTGTCAATAAAAATGCAATTTGACTGTGCTTCTATGTATCTGATTTAATAACCGATAAAATAACTGACGAAAATGTAGCCTACTATCATTTCATCCTTCCAAACAAAATTCACACTTCAAAAAGCTGCAATGACAGATTTAACTTTTAATTCTGATAACCGTTGAATCGTTTAATGCACATAACTATAAACTATGACAGCTAGTGGAAAAGTTTTCATCATGTGACTTTCTCATCACCTGTTTTTGGAGGTTATCAGTGTATTTCATTGGTACAAAACAGATATTACTTCAATAGGTTGGTATATTAACATTATATCAGATAATAAATGTTGATAGCATATTTTTTTTTTTTACGGTAAAGTTACAGCTGCCGGTATTTTACCAATTTTTTTATACAGTGCATCCAATACTATTCTCCTCTTCAGCAGACACATAAAACAGCACTGATCCAAACACCTTTGGTGTTCATACACGACAGTGTAAGTTTCTCTTTCTTCACAGATAACAGCCACAACAAGCTTTTACTCCCATTTACAGCTTTTTTTGGTCTATTCATGTTCAAACATATATTATTAGGAAAGAAACTGGAGAAAACTCTATATATTGTATATATTTTGTGTTAAAATGTTACCTTATGCGAGTTGAAATATTAAACGAAGCAGGAGAAAGTGCGTGTCGTCTGTTTCCCGCGGTTTTTCAAACGGTGTGTGATCATCTGATCCGATCTGAGCGCGCTTCTTCTGCTTCTTCTTCTTCTTCGTCGGGGTTTTACGGCAGTTGGCATCCGATTTGTTGCATTACTGCCACCTGCTGTTCTTCAGTGCATTATATCCTCCTGCGACCCAGGCGTAGACTTTTGTCCTCTGAGGACATTATATTTGAGTGAATTTCTCTGAGAGCCTACATGCCACAGTTTGAAGTCTGGATGTCCTGTTCAGAGCACATTCAGGGCTTTTTATG